GTTGACTATTCTTCTTCAGGAGAACAAAGGTAATATCCCCCACAGGACAAAGGTCGTGGAGATAAGTGAATCTAGTAGTAATGCTAGGGATGCTTTTGTCATATACATGGCTGTCAGTACATATGGGCTCACTAGTTTCTGATTGTGCAAACAGTCTAGGTTCAGTACAATGGCTGAAGCTCAGTAAGTTGTTTGAATACACCAGTGTGTTTGTGAGACTAGATGACTGATTGTGTCAGGCAGTCATAACTCATCATTACATTTGTCTGAGTGACACACATGTCCAATAAATCAGCTGTCTTAAAGGCTTCCCTGAAGCATTAAGGCTGAAGTCAGCACTGGAATATAGCAGACGTTATTTTACGTCTCTGGGGGATTGTGTAGTCATCTCCAGGAGGGAATGCTAAGGTTCTGTACATTCTTTATTGTACATTATTACACAAGGCTGCACCAAATGTGTGGCTAAATGGTGAGAGCTTGTTCATTCGTTAAATGCCATGATCATGAACTCTGTGGGAGTTAAAGAAATTTGAAGGACCCAAATCTAGCATGAATGCTTTTTGCCATGTTGCAAGGTGAAGCACAGATAGTACAGATTGAGAAATGTAACACAGATGCACATGTAACCTGTGGCTCTTGTTTGAGCACATATAAATGCAGGAACGTTTGCTATACTATTGTTAAAAGCCACCAATACATGGTCCTTAACCTATGTTGCAGCTAATGGCTCCCACAGCTCTTAGACAAGAAATGCTTCAGACTGCATAATGGAAGGAATCTGTGGGAAGGCCTAGATTTGTTATCCCATCCAGTCCTGACTGAATGCATATATTGCCAATGCCTGAGGGTGAGGTACTAGAGACCAAATTGCCGGTAGTTGGGTGTTCCAATGAGTGGCCAATGCATCAATCATCAGTGTTTTGAACTGAGAAATCCAATAGAAAACCTCGCGATACAGCATCTATTCAGTTGGGGGAATCCATTTGGATTGATACAATTGATATGCCATCAAACTCATTACCCTCGGAACATGGCAAGCTAGTAAGCTAGTAGGGTGCAATGATAAGGGTGGGCCCAAGAAAGAAGATCCAAGACTCGAAAAGAAAGAGATCTGGACCAAGCGCCCCCTTGATGGGAAATAGAAGACACCACCATGGAATTGTTGAGGTGCAGCCTGATGACTTTTTCCCCTTAATAAGTCCAGAACATGAGACATCTCCCTTTGAACAGCAAGAAATTGTAAAACATTCTGTAGGGAAGCCTCCTCATTCATCCATAGGCCTTAGAATTCCTGACAGTTGAGATATGTACCCCATCATGAAGCAAGGCATCCATGAAGAGATGGATCTCTGGACAAGGTGGTGGCAGATGAACACCTATCATAGTATTGTTCTGATCTAACCACCCTCAAGATCAAAGATGATGATCCTCAATTAGGAACTTGAGGAATCCAGTTAATCACTGTTCATGATCCATTAGTTGCACTGAAAGGATCTAGTGTGCTCATCTCAAAAGAATGAAGGTTTCAAGTGATGCTC